TAGTAGTCACCATATCAAAAATGTAGCAAGGGACAGCCCATAAGCCAGAAAAATAGGGACTGCCTGTAGAACTACAGGTACCTTATTGGGGCATGCAGTCATGGTGATGGCTTGCACAATTGTAGGTGCCTAATGGTGCACATAAGTGGTTCTGTGTGTAGTAATTCTGGTGGACCACTGTGTGCGTGCTTTGCAAACAGTAGGACACGTGTAAGGCCTCTTATAGAAGGGTAATATGCATGGTACTCCCAGGGCTTTGGGAGCTGAGGGAATCCTGCTGTGATGTGAACATGTTGTTCCAGGGTATCTGTAGGCTTTTAAAAACTGATTCTCAGACCACTAATGCAATGAATCAAATAAATCTGCTGTTGCCCAGAGTGCTGCCTCCCAGCTTCGCCTCCTGCTGCTGCACCCTCTGTTACTTGTTGTTCTCTTAAAGGAGCCGCACCTCAGAAGCTGCCCTGACCCCTTCTCTCCCCAGTCCTGGGAAACAGCAGTGCTCTGTGCCTTTATTCTCATTTACCTGCTTGTGAAGACACTCTGCTGCCTGCTCCCTTCCTGAATCCCTTCTGGAAATCAGCTCCCAGGTCCTGCACCTCTGCCGCGAGCCCCCTGTGCAGTTAAAGGAGCAGTAGCGCACAGAGTAAGGGAAGCCAGCATGCAGCCAGGCAGCAAGGAGGCTGGCAGCTGCTGCCATCCCAGGATGTTGGCTGGGATTCCAGTTTCCTTGTGCTGTTTTCAGCTTTGGCTGCGCTTTCAGAACTGTTTCCCTGCTGGATTTGCAGTTGCTTTGCAGCACCTCTCATGTATGATTTGATGGCATCTCTTTGTATGCACAATGGCACAAAGGTGCCACCGATCGCAGGTCTCTTTGTTTGTGGTGCTAGCCTGGCCAGGTTCCACAGGAATAGGCCAACGTGGAAATCACTAGAGCGTGGCCTCTGACCGTACTCTGCTACCACACTTGCTACATCTGATCTCTCTTTGTCTAGCTGTGAACCCTCTTGATCACTGTATGGGCAGGGGTCAGAGGTGGGGCCCGAGCACTGAAAAGAGGACAGATGGAGGAGTAGGAGAAGCGTGACAGAGGGGCAAAGAAATGAATCCAGTGTGCAATGGGCAGAGCAGAGGATCCTTTAGCTAGAAAAACACTTTGTTAAAGAATGAGCTCTTCAGAAAAATCAGGGGTTAAAATGTAAAGCAGTTAATGAGCCATATGAATGTTGCTAAAAGCTTTGAAAGCTTCCTGGATTCCCCATCTCTACAGTTAAGTTCTTTAGTTAACGTCAGGTTACGGGGGTAAGTCAGTGTTAAATTGCTCACAGCTGTGTGTGTGTGTGGGGGGGCCCCCTCCTTGGAACTGCACCAGGAAGGCCCCTCAATCCCCTGCCTCCTCCTGCACCTTCTCTCCCTCCCATCCAGACCCCACCCCTCCATCCCCAGCCCTCTCCATGGCAGCCCCCTCTGCACACTAAACCTCTCATTTTTGGCTCCATCACAGAGCCTAAGGAGTCCCTCAAAATTTGCTAGCTCTGGGCTCTTAGAAGCGTTTATCTGGCCCTGTAGGTAAATCCTGAGCCTCGGTACCTCCCCCTCCCATGGGGCTGAGGGGAGTGAGGGCAGCATCTTTTTTTCCTGCATCTTAGTTGGGGGCTCCTCTGAGGTTTTTTTTTTCTCCCTTTCACTTGGGGGGCAGGGGCAGTGTGTTTTTTTTCCCCTCGCTTGTGTGTGACCCCCAACTGATTTTTCTGTGGGTCAGTGCCGCTTGACCCATCCCTGGTTTATTATGTAGATGAGATTGTAGGAAGATGTTTTGTCTCCATGTCTGGAATGGAAGGCTGCTTTGGGATCTCTTTATTGGTATGACATAGTACCTTCCCCTAGGACTATGCCCGTTGAGCTCAGTGGCATTACCTGTGGGGTAAGGCATTGTTCAGTGCAAGCGAGGGGCTCATAAAGTAGCCCCGAGTTTGGATATGAAGATAGTGGGAATCATCACAGCAAGATACTCTGGGACTTGAGGGCCAGATTCTGCCCCCGTACGCATTACTAGAGCTACTCTTGGCATAAGGAACTGCTCCATGTGATGAACGTGTCAGAATCTGAGCCTTAGTAAATACAAATATGCAGGCGTGCAGAAATCATATTGTAGATAATCTTGCCAACCCTCTGGTATTGGTCTGGCGTCTCCAGGAATCAAAGGTGATGTCCTGTGACCAAACCTCTAGGAATACAACCAACCAAAACTGGCAACCTTCTCTCTAGATCGTATGACCACATATCCTGATATTCAGGGCTTTGTATTATATAGGCACCTATTGCACAAAGACAGAGACGCTCATATTCATGTGTGCACCCCTCTCACACACACCCTCGCCCGACCCTGTCCTGATATTTGACACATGCTACCTGATCACCCTGACCCTAGGTGAAGCAGCTGACCTGTCTAGCACCTTTGTAAGCAGTGTGACTGAAATGTCATGAGGCACCCTGCTTTTCTGGGGTCAGTATGTGGATGAAGCTAGATCCTGTTTGCTCTACATTACCCTTACTTTCCCATTTGACTGCTCTTAAATAACTTTTCTTGCCATAAGAGCTACAGGTCCTTCCATACACTCAAGCCACTATTAGTAGCTTTTCATGCCTCTTCAAATAGCTATGTCCCAGTTCTCAGCGGCTTAGAGTATATAGCCTTTTCAAAGCACCACATCAGAGCCTTTACCTTTACTAAGCTTGACTAGTTGTTTCACCTGTGCTAATTTATTCGAGTTGTTTAAGTTCTCTGGTGAATCTGGCTTTTTATTGCCTGTAAAATCCTTGACCCTAATGATCTGGACACTTACGATCATTTTCTTATCCTTAGTTTTTTTCTGTACTTTTTCAAGTCAACAACTGAGAGAAATACATTTCCTTTTTATTTATGGAAATATTAGAGCAGTGCCAACGCATGCAGTCATGTCTATATTTTTACAGGGGAGTCAAAAGTGTTTTATCGCATGACCGAACAGGTAATGTTAGCAATGCAACTCAGTGGCTGGACCCTCAAACATAAGGGCTAACGTGGTAGACCTTGTTTGCCACTGATCCACTTCTCTTCTCACTTCCACTGTCATAGCCCTTTCATGGCCTTCAGCATTCACATGATTTAGTGTTCTTTAGGAGAAAAGCATAGATTGAATTCTTTGGGTTGGAGAACTTAGATGAGCACATGCACTTCACCTCCGAGTGAACTTGGGGACTGTTCACATCAGTGACAGGCAACCTAGGATAGTGAGTGGGCTGCATGAGTGGTCCACTATCTTAGTGGGCTGCAAGATTGTTGTAACCAAGACAGTCTCCTGTGACAGGGTAGTTTTGCTCACTGCGCTTGCATACCTAGAATCTGCGGGATGTGCCCATTGAACTGTAGCAGCACTTTGATTGGGTGGAGAGGGAGCCCACGGATCTCACTGACAATGTTGTGTGGCATCAGCATGCACATCACTCCTCATGCCCTTGGTTTACATGTGCATCGCCAATAGGGAAAAGCCCTCTGTGGATGGAAACCAGCAGAATCTGGCCACCCTGCGCGTGGGAAATGGCAAACAAAATGACATAGAACTCCAACGGGCCTCAGCTTGCCCACTGTCGGTCCACATTGTGCTATTGCAGATGTGCTGAGAAACAGTCCCGGAGATTTCTGGCACAAATTGGGACAGTATTTTTTTGAGATGGCTGTTAAAAGCCACCCTAAAGGAAGCCTGCTGTAGACCACCTCCTAGTGCCAGTGTTTCTAACATGGAAGTCCGAGTTTTGTAATCAAGTTGGATATGGAGGGGAGTATGTTAGTACTGGGTTTTAAAAATGGTGATAGGCGCACTTTTGCAGACACTGATGTGGGCAGGACTCTAATGCATTTCAGAAGTCAAATATTTCTCCCTCCAGTTTTGAGTAAGAGTCTCCTCCTTCCCAGACATATACCAGCGAATGGCCCGTGCTGGTACTGATGTAGCTGAGTCACTTGGGAGAGCGTAATCTATTGGCACAAGTGGTGCTGTGACAAACCCTGACTGCCTGTCTCTGTGACAGGGAAGTTCACTCCTTTTATAGCCGTGGATGCTCTCAGCTGTACCAGTACTCAGATTGTGGATCAGATTTGGATCCAGGGCCTGGCCTCACTGGAGCTCTGCAGCTGAGCAGTTCCCTGGGTCTAGCCCATCCAGCAGGGCTTCCGGCAATCCCTGGCTGGTGTAACAGCCCTATCGGGCCATTGCAGCTAGTGTACATTAGAGCAATCCCAAGACTGTCCAGTTTATACTGGTGACTGAAGTGTTCCCTGGCAGCCTAGGGGATCCAGGCAAAAATTGTCCCCCCTGCCTTGGGTCCTGTGCTGAGCATGGAAGAAGGAAGGAGGGGCCTGTATCCTAAGACTCCCAGCTTCATTCATGGAGGGCTGAAGTTCTCCATTCTGTACTGCTAATTTGCTTTGCACAGTCTGGGCTGATTTAGGCAGAACAAGCATGAAAAAAATCCTGTTTGCTCCTTGTGGAGTTGGATTATTTGGCTGGTTGCTCCCTACTTTAGCTGTACAACAAGTTCTTACCTCGGGTACTTCACTCCTTTGTCATTTAGTTTAGTTTCCCCCTCATGCTCTGGTCTGCCATTGGATTGCATGCACACAGCGTGCCCGCAGGCTTCACCGTATTGTTACATATGTTGTGACATCCAAAATAATCTCAGTGGGTGTTCCCAGCAGCTGCCACAATACAACCTATTTTGGCAGCCAAAAGTGCAGCGAGCTTTGTGTGTCACCCTTCCTTCTCTTCTGCATAACATTGTAGCAGCGATGAAATCTACTCATGTTGTGTAGTCCTACCCTCTTGCCGACGTTGCCCTACTGACTTACAACTGTCCGTAGGTATGTGGGAGGAGGATTTGTGCTTTGTTAATTCATCTTTGGGGTGGATTGAATTCCCAGAACTGCATGTGGATGGAATATTATTCTGTCGCAGCTAGTGAAAATGGTCTTTGTGAATGGAGCAAAGAAATTTCAGTTGGAGTCTGTGCTACTTGGTGAGGGAGGACCCTACTGCAGTGGCGTAGCAAGGAGAGGGTGTGTGTGTAGGGGGGAAGCCAGTTTAGTCCCCGTCCACTCCCCCGTCATCTCTCGGCTTGCCTGCTCCTCCGCCGCCCGCTGCCACCGGCTGAAGCCTCCTTCCCTCCTCTCCGCCCCCAGCCCAACCCGCTTCCATCTCCGCCAGCAGGTTAGTGCATGCAAGGGCCCGGCCTCAAACTGCTGGGGGTGGGAGAAGATGTGGTACAAGCTCCCCCCCTTCCTTGCAGGCTCAGGCTCAGCCGTGTGTCAGGTTCAGGGCCCCACCACGCGGCGGCAGCGGGGGAGGCGCAAATTTTGCCTCTGCCCTACTGACCTGGCACACAAACATCTGGGAAACACCCCTTTTTAGCAACAGTCCAGTGTAGGCTGCAGTGACATTTGACTTGACCTTACACACACAGAAGAGGATCATCGCATCCTTCCCCCTAGTGATTAAAATGGCTGCATATTAAGTGCAAAGTTACTTTTTAAATCCCTTTGTGTATTTGCACCTGTCGTGCCAGACTGAAGATGGTCTACTTTTTTTATATTACAGTTGTGTTGGTGTAGAAGAAGAGGAAGCACCAGATATTGACATCTATCATTGTCCAAATTGTGAGAAAACCCATGGGAAGTCTACTTGTAAGTATGCCTGCTTGACTCCAGTGCTGTCTCAAGTAGCTACTCTATGTTTAAGCATGGCTAGTTTCTCAATTGTTGGTTATAGAAAGATATATTTTAATTAATGTGTGTTTCTTACTATTATATAGGGCAGTCCTGCTACAATGGGATTCAAAATGCAGTAAGGGTAAAAAGATGGGGTTCTGGGACTGAGACTAGGGAGATCTGTATTCATTTCCCTGCAGAGCCTCGTCATAGGCATCTTATCTAACCTAGGGCAAATTATTTCATCTTCCCTCTGCTCAGTCCCCATCTGTAAAATAACCCTTCCCTAACTCGCCAAGGTGTTGAGGCTAAAGTCCATTATCGAGGCGCTTACGTGCAGGCCCCAAAAGTCCCTGGATATGTACGTAGGTCTGATACAGCCTTGTATAGTAATTACACTCTAGCTTTGGTCATCTAATGGATTTGGGGTTGCATATATGATTAAGTGGTATTTTGGTGGCCGTTAAAATTTTAGTGAACATTGGGGAACTGGTTCTTTCTCAGGCAAAACTCCCACTGATATAAAAAGCTTGTTGATGGAGTGGGAGTATTACCTGATAAAGAACTGTGGGATGTTTTTGCTTTGGTCAAATGAAATAAAGAATTCTGGTTAATATGGATGAAGATCCTTCCTCAATCATTGTGAAAAATTAAATGCTTTTTATTATAAATATGCTACCAAGATTATTGCTATTATGCAACAAACGACAATTAACATGCAGAGGAAACATTTTATCCTCATTTTCCTCTAGGTGGGTTTGAAAGCATCACCCTGCCTATTTCTCAAATTTCTAGTGACATACATGTCAGGAGTAGGTCAAATAAATAACTGTGTGTCATCTTTCAAGTGCATCATTTAGTAGTAGAATGGCTTGTCGGGAAAGGGAGTGGTATGACTAAAGACATGTAGAGTCAATCATTGCCTCATTGTGGGAGCTAAAGCATGATTTGCCTAGACTCTGAGTAAAATTCCTATGTTATGTTAAAATGTAATTGATCCTTTTCTTTTTTCCACTTGGATTTAAATTATGAATGATAGAAGACACCTAGTTTGGCAGAAAAATACAGGTAGATGATTTAAATAAAATTACATAAGAAAACAAGGGCGCATAATCTTAGAATTCAAGGACTGACTGTTTCAAAAAGAAGATTAGAAGAGTAATATACCAACTATGACAAGTAGAGTTGAAATAACAGCTAACGTCTAATTCTTTGAGCAGGTTCTTGGCTTTCCATTCCTTAACAAAATCTGCCTTTGGCAATATGCCCTTCCCAATCCGTATCGCATAGTGTGGCAGATATAAAGGTGCTGTATCAGAAACATTGTGACTGCAGCAGTCTTGTACGCATATGTGGTTACAGCTGTGGCAGAAGTACAGTGTCATACTACAACAGCCGTGCTAGGAGTATTGCTGTTTTATCTAAGATACGGCCTATTGTGACTTCACAAGATTAGTCATTAGAGTGGAATAGCATAAAGAGCAGCAAGTGTGCTGGAGCCTTAGTTTATCACTGGAATATTGCATACTGAATTTTCTTGGTCTGTACAATAATATTTTCTCAAAATGAACAGCAGCTTTCAAGGATATTTAAAAAAACAAATTATATAGATTATTACAGCCATAAAATAAAAGGGATATACGTAACATTGCAAAAATGAAATCTAAGGGTGTGATCCTTCCAACGTTTCACGTGCTGTGTGTAACCGCAACAGACTGGGAAGTTTAGGGGACACTCTTCAAATGAAAGTAGGAACATGCTTAGTGTTAAGTTGTTCTGTCAAACGGTTGTGTGCAGCATGTTTCCGGACGTGTATGAGATTATCAGTTTCATTTGTTAACTGCTACAGTGTATGTATAAACTAGCAGAGTTATCTTGCAGTATTACATTTGTATTAAATGAGTAGGTGTCGTTCCAGATATGATAATTCACTGCCAAGATTTAATTATAGCAAGGCTCGCAAAGAGAAGCACATATGCACTGATTGTTATGTAACTTGTATGGGTTTAAAATCTACTATGTATTTGAAAGAGTTTGTGTCTGTCCATCCGTGAGCCTGTTTGTTCAAGAACTCCTCCTAAATGGTAAGAGCTAGGATCACCAAATTTGGTATGCAGCTTCCTCAGGAAAGCATTTGGTAGTGCTAGGACCATGGGATGTTCGTGGAAAGCGATTTTTTCTTGTCAAATGGAAAGGGAGGGCTCAGATAGCATAGACAGTTATGCTCCAGAATGACCACAAGGGGGCAGCAAGCAAGCATGCCGCTACTGCCCTGACAGCCCTGGAGAGCTGCAGAGCAGCTGCTGGCTGGGCAGCACAGTCCCCACTGCCCTGGATAGCTCAGGGGAGAGGTCCCCACTGCCATGATTGCCCTGGAGAGCTGCAGAGAAGTCAATGGCCGGACAGTGCAGCCTCTGTCACCCTAGCCTGGGCCGCAGCCGGCAGCCATGCAGCGCAGGCCCTGGGCCAGCCTCAAGCAGCAGCTGGTGCCCCAATTACCCAGGCTGGCCTCAGGGAGTAGCTGCCAACTGCCCCTACTTCCTATCCTGAACACCTCCCCTCCTGCCCTGATTCCTGTACCCCCCTGCCTCATCCTCTGAGCTCCCTGCCCCAAAACACAAATAGAATATACACATTCAGGGGATTACAAACTCTTGAATGATAGGTTACATTGCCCCATTTTGCCAAAGCATATTCAAATTATGCATATTCATATTCGAAAACACATTTCCATAAAAATGGGAGCACAGTGTCACACATTCCATGTGCAGTTGTTCCCAGAGGCCGGAATGAAATATTTCTCACTGTGGTATGCATTCTGCAAACACGCAATAAAGAAATTGGCTGATACTGGTTGTGTAATCCACAAATTGGCTGATACTGGTTGATGGAATGCCGTACTACATGACAAAGCATCTAAGAGGGAGATTTCAAATGGGCACTAGGTATGTCTAGATTTTCAATATGTGTTACCTGCTCTTTTTGAAAATATCCCCCAAAGTTGCAAAGTTATATCAGAGTATGCTGATTGAAAAGCATTGCAATGAATATTTTTTAATAATATGAATAATGAATGTAACTAGAAATTAAGGCTACTTTGCGGAAAAATAAAAGAAGGGCTTTGATAGAATACTGGTTATGACACACGTGTTTAGCTGGGCCAGTTGGCACGGGAGATGGTGAGGGTGATATGAATGGAAAGCAGGAGGAAGGGGTGTACATGTAGGCTATGTCTAGACAGGGCCGGCCCACAACATTTTGGCATCTGAGGCGGGGAGCTCAAATGACACCCCAATGCCACCTTTTCGCCTGTCTGCCTGTTATGTCTCTTGTGCCCTCCTTCCTCCAGCACAGCACTCCCCCATCTCTGTGCATCTACAGCAGAAAGAATACATGTGCACCAGCAGCAGACACAGTTTTCTACACTCTGAGTCCTGGTGGTGCTCCCCCCCCGCAGTCTGGCACCTGAGGCGGCTGCCTCAGTTCGCCGCATGGTAAGGCCAGCCCTGTGTCTAGACTACGTTTCATTTTCTAAAGAGGATATGCAAATTCAGCGGGAATTTGCATATCTTCTTCTGAGCTCTCTTTCGAAAGAGGATCTTTCGAAACTGAAAGTAGTCTGGACGTGGTGTTTTTGGGGAAAAAACCCTATTTTGAAAAAACCACTCTTCCTTAAAAAATGAGGTTCATGCTTTTTTTGGTTTTTCCCCCAAAAAAACACGTCCAGAGGATCTTTCGAAAGTAGGTTCAGAAGAAGATATGCAAATCCTCTTTCAAAAAAAACGTAGTTTAGACGTACCCGTTGGGGTTGATTTCTGTTTCTATGAGTACTTAATGAATTCGTTAGGCCCGAGGGTCATTAAGATAAAGAACTAGCAGCTTTCATGACTATATCCAGTTAGGCTGGAGAGTGGCACGGAACTAATTAAAACCAGCAAGTGTTATACAAAACCTGGGATGGTTTCTTCTGTAGCTGTCTCTATTTCCAAACTGCTGTCCAGCATACGGAGGTGACCTTTCCAGGTCTCAGAATGTTATAGATTGGACCTCCGTCTCCTCAGCTACTTTGGTAGCCAAAGAGTGAGTGTGGATGGGGCAGAGCAGGGGAAGGACACAGGTCCAGTAGTGGTGATAGAGATGTGTGGCTTTCTTCCACAAAACTGGCTTGAACATAAAAAACCAGACCTACATCCCTCCCCAGAAAGACTCCTCCTCTAAAGCAGGCCTCACCCCCTTGCCTTCACAACTAGACTAGGGTTGTTGGGTTTACTCTGAGCTTTTATGGAGTCTGAGGTTTCATATTTTATCTTACCCAGCTTGTCCACTTTTAGGTACAGTCTGAACCAAGGGTACAAAAAGGGAACAAGTGACATGAAAAAATTCTGGGGATGGAAAGCTCAAAACCATTGGAGACTGCTTTTCTGATGTCAGTAATTTCCTCCAGTAAACATCCCGTGTCAGACTAAAAAGCAAGAGCCGCTGAAAGATTTAATGTTGATTATTGGCAAAAACTGTAATGGTTCTTCTTGGTCAGTGTTAAGTGATTGTGGAAAAGAAAAAGTAGAACCAAGTTGTCATCGGACTTGACTGGACTGCATATTTCAGCGGACCCATTTCCCTGATCAGCTTGCCTACATGTCTGTCATTCTTTGGGCGCTTGAGCCAGGGGCATTCTGCTCTGGCTCATCAGTGTTGCAGTATGAATCCGGCTTGCATTTCAAAGTATGGCAATGAAAGATGCTCCAAAAACCGGATTGGGCGTAAATGTCGAACACAGTAGATTCTCTTGCCAGAACTATGAATTTTGTATTTAGGGCTTGATCCAAAGCCATTTGCATTCAGTGAAAAGACTTCTGCTGACTTAGGATCGGGCTCTTGAAAAGGTGTGACAAATAAAGAGCATGTTCATATTGATCTGTGCTAAAAACAGAAAAGGAGAGAAGATTTTTGGGAGGCTTACAATAAAGATTAAGTGTGTAGTCTGGCAAGTGCAAAATGTTATCCGCAGCCTGTATTTGCTTAATGCTTGGGATAGACGTAGTGCTCAGTAATTATCCGTCTGGTGTCCCTTATGTTAGAAATGAACACAGTGCACTATGAAATAGATCTTCAGGCTACAGCGTAACCGTCTAATGGTGACTCCAAACACAGTATTAAAATTAACAGTGCTGCGTAGTGGGCTTTTCTTTTCTCAGCTTGCATGGATAGAGAAACATCTTAGTACTCACAAAGGCTATATCTAGACTGGCATGATTTTCTGCAAATGCTTTTAATGGAAAAGTTTTTCGTTAAAAGCATTTGCGGAAAAGAGCGTCTAGATGGGCATGGACGCTTTTCCACAAAAGCACTTTTTGCGGAAAAGTGTCCGTGCTAATCTAGACGCGCTTTTGCGCAAAAAAGTCCCGATCGCCATTTTCACGAGTGGGGCTTTTTTGCGCAAAACAAATCTGAGCTGTCTGCACTGGCCCTTGTGTGCAAAAGTTTTGCGCAAAAGGGACTTTTGCCCGAACGGGAGCAGCATAGTATTTCCACAAGAAGCACTGATTTCAGACAGTAGGAAGTCAGTGCTTTTGCGGAAATTCAAGCGGCCAGTGTAGACAGCTGGCAAGTTTTTCCGCAAAAGCGCTTGCTTTTGCGGAAAAACATACCAGTCTAGACACAGCCAGAGTGTTTTAGTAATGATCCCCTACTTAGCATACGGTCTTGTCCATTTCACTCTCTTTCAGTGAAAAAGAAAAGAAATTGGCACAAGCACGATACCGGGCAGTCAACAGAGGTGAAACCCGTACAGAATGGGAGTCAAGTCTTTATAAAGGAACTTCGAAGTCGGACTTTTCCAAGGTAGGTTATTCAGCTATGTAAGTAAAAGTGTGATTGCTGTGAAGCACGTGGCCAGTTGTAATATGTGCTCAAACAAAATATGTGTACAAAATACTGTGGTGAATGTTGTTTTCTTTGCTTAGTGCATGTACAGCATAGGGAGAGGAATGAATGACAGAGAATTCCCCATGAGAACGTTTGCCATGTAGAGACCTAGTTTTAAGCTAATTTCACAGACTTTAAATCTTTAGTGATTGTCATTATGGGTGATGACCTAAATTCTCCTTGCAGTTACATTGGTGCAGTGCTATTAAAACAGGTGCATTTCCCAGTTAGTTGGGTCCAGTGCCCTACCAACACCTGTAAAACAGGTTGTGAAAGGGTTCTGGGAAGAAGTAGCATTTAGAACAGGGGTAGGCTGGTGGCATCCGGCCCACCAAGCCAATGGATCCGGCCTGTGGCCTTCTCGCCAGGACCTTTAGGAAGAGAGCAACTCATGCTTTAAACAGCTGGCTGTTTTCTACTCTGGACTTGGGGGAGGGGAAGGGAGAGGGAGGTTAAACGCGCTTCTGCGCTCTCCCCCTAGCAAAATCTCTCAGCTCTCATTGACCAGTATCCGGCCAGTAGAAGCTGAGAAATTTTGCTGGGGGCAGAGGTAGAGTGTGAAGCCTCCTTTCCTCCCCCTGCTCCATGCCTGGAGCAGACCGATGTGCAACAACCAGACAATTGAGATTTCATCAGGGAGCTTGTCTGCAGGGCTGCTGGCTGGGAGCTGCCTAGGTATGTACCTCCCAGCCAGAGTCTGCCTCTGGCACCCCTCCCCCTCT